ATTTCATCAGGTAACGTTTTATACATATATTTATACAATCATCTTTTCAGTTTTTCAGTTGTTTTGGAGAAGGAAATAAACATTTCCGAAAGCTTGACAAACTAGCAAAGAGTTTTCATCCTTGACCTTGACTTCAACCTCAAGATATCTTCTAATTGATATATTGTGATTCTTATTTGATCAGAAATGACCATTGAATAACGAATTTAGTTAGCTCCCTAACTATATTATTAAAGGGGAACTATTGGAAGGTATAGCCTCACTGATCACTTGGTCTGAATTGACACATTTCTTTATCACTAATACCAGGGGAAAGAAATGTTGTTCTTCTGATCGATGAAATTTATATGACTCCGAGAATGGACTATAGATCAAAAACGGGTACGTTTTTTAATGTAAATGAACTTGACATTTTGCCCATTTCAGATAATTTTATGTTTACTATTCCTTTCTAATGCCATCGTTCATAATAATAATGATAATCTCGTATCCAATGTGTGATGGATTACAGGGCGGCCAACAGGCCTTTCACGCCCGCAGTGTGGCGAATAGCTGCCAAACTACGACGTATCCATCATACTTCAAGTCAAGACGTGCTGCTGACCATCAGCAGCACGTCTTGCGTGGAATCCTCCTGGAAGGATATCTATGAACATCCGCAGCCACCCAACTTAGACACTCCAGCCCTAGCGCAGTTCGAAGCTTCAAACAGAGATCTTCGACAGCCTGAGCTGAATGAACTGCGCAACCCGATAACCCCGGATGATGTTCGAAGAGCCCTCGTGGGTTTTAAGAACTTTACGGCTCCAGGCCCAGATGGGCTGAATACTTATTGGTGGCAAAAACTCACAAGCACCCACCGCCATCTGGCAGAGTTTTCAACTCATGGCTGGACAGAGAACATCGGATTCCGGATTGGTTTGTCGAGGGGCGGACCGTTCTCATTCACAAAAGCGGAGATTTGTCGATTCCTAAGAATTACAGATCGATAACATGCTTGAATTCGTGTTATAAGTTGTTTACAAGCATCTTATGCACACGAATACTCACCGCAGTTGGCCGACTGTTCGAACGGATATATGAGCAGAGAGAGTCGGAGAGAGGAGTCGCTGCATGTAAAGAGAACCTGCTTATCGATAGATGTGTAACCCAGGACTCGATATAATATAAGCGTAACCTCTCTATGGCCTGGATCGATTACCGTCAGGCATTTAAAACAATATCGCATGAGCCCATCTTGCATTTGTTCAGATGCCTTGCGGTACCCGACAAAATAGTGAGGTACATTGAACACTTTGTTACCTTCTCTTCTTCATCTCACTATTGCCATTATCCGTTGCGCTCAGAAATAATCGAGGGTATAACTGTAGCACCTCCAGAAACCGGAAGTACAAGGTCACCCATTTGTTTCATATGGATGATCCAAAACTTCATGACTCTGGAGAGAAGGATCTCCATCAGTCCTTGAGGTGGAAGAGTACACGCATGCTATCGGTATGAAATTCAGGATAGACAAATGTGCAATGGTCCGCCTCAAAAGAGGACGATGCGGGGAATACGGAGAGGATGTGCAGCTCGT